TGTTTAAAAGTAATCACCACCTTTTCACAATGCAACAGATAATTTATGCCACACTAAGTAAAAAAATTAAATCTATTGTGCTAGATAGCATGCATTTCAATTTTCAGTGTATTTTTAGTCACAGTATTACAAAAATTTTGTAGATAGTACTTCAGAAGAACTAAAGAACAATTTGATGGAAGACAAGAATTACACATTACTGCCTGAGGCTGCATGGAGCCTTTTAGTCAGTTGGTATGGACTATCAGTAGGATCAAGATCAATTGTCAAGTAAATATTGCTGAATTTTATAATTATTATACAGCAATATTTATTACTGGTTAGGAATGTAGAAGAGCATGGAGTACACAAGAAGTTGAGGGTTGAAGTTTACTTAATTGAGTTGAAAATGTGTGTACATCCTAATTCTATTAATATAAAAACATATTCATTTAGTCGAGGAGACTTAATAAGTAAGTCTATAATAATGCAGCTCTTTATAATGAATTGCTGTAGGTGATATAGTAACAGTAATGAAGCAACAGTTTAAAATATCTGATACTACTGAATGTAGAATATGGGAACGTGACTTCACAGGCAAATATGATTTATTAACTGATTTTCAACAAACAGTATCTGATGCTGGTATACATGGAGGACAAGTCAGTTATTAGATTGATTTTATTTTTAATGACAAAATAATTACTATTTTTTGTAACTGATAGATGTTAATGCTTGAAAAAAAAAATCCTGATGAAACTTGGCCAAGAGATAAAACTAAATAAATTTACATTTTTGTAGCTACTATAATAAGAATAATAGTAGAGCTAACCTCAGATATAAATTATTATTATTTCCCATGCTATACTTAGCTGTTAAAATTACTGGCTATAGACGTTATATAAATCTAAATAATTAGCATAATATAGTATAAAATTTTGATCATTTTTATTAACAAGTGTTAGTTCATTCGTGCAGATGGGGCCTAACTCTGATATTCATTTCTCAAAGTCATTGGTCAAATATCCACAGTTATCATAGCTCTAGATCTACTTCCTGCAAGACAAGCAAAAATGGACAGGGCTCAACTTCAGCCATTACTATTGCCAAATTTAAAGGAGACTGGTAAAGAGTTAGGTCGTGGAGCTTATGGTGTTGTTACTGAAGTAATAGTTAGTGGAACAACCTGTGCTGCTAAGAAGCTTCATCCAGCTATTGTACAGGTAAAGGAGTTTATAATTTACTTGTAAGTAGTGTTACTTTAATCATTTCTTTAGGAGAACACTTTGACAAGATTTGGTGATGAGGTGCTTCTTCACAGTCAGCAAAGGCATCCTAACATTGTCCAGTTAATTGGTGTCTATTATCCTCCTGGTTCACAATAGAGGATATGCGTGCTAAGTATATTCATAGCTTTTAAGTACCGTATATCCAACCCACACAGTAAATTGGCCGCCATGTTGGACGTCAAGTTTATTAAGAGTTCAATGGGGGAAAACACATTTTCTTGCCTTGCTACCTTCTTGAGGCCTTTTTCGGAAGCTTAGAAAGCATCCTGAGGATCTAATGGGGTCTAGTAGTCACCTGAGAGATTGCTATCAAGAAATACAGAGCGGTTTTCTGGTACCAAGCCTTTTTCTATCTTTTCTCCATTGCTGCCAATGGAAAGTTGACGTCCAACGAACTAATTTTTTTTCTTGAAAGTTATTACGGTATGCAATGAATACATTTATTTTGCAATGAATATACTTAGCACGCATATCCTCTATTACCAAAGTTAGTAATGGAGTATCTTCCTTTATCACTCACACAATGTCTGGAGAAAGAAGAGCTACCACTTCAAATGAAGTATTCTATTCTTCTTGATGTTGCTAAGGGTTTGTGTTATCTTCATGATAAACATCCTCCTATTGTACATCGTGACCTCACTGCTAATAACGTGTTACTGACCTCTTCATACTCAGCACAATTAGCACAATTAATATAGCACACTTAGAGGTAAGACATTCAACCAGCCATTGCTAATGGTCTAATAACCTTACAGTTATTTGCATTATAATAGTATAATATTGTAACTAATAAAGCTTATGTATAATAAAGTTTGCTATATGTACTTCATTTTAAATGCTTCGTTTCTATAACAAATAATATATTAATTACTTAATTTTTTTATTATTTTTATTTTTTATTATTTTTATGTTATAGCAACCCGAAGCTAGCTACACACTCCACCACTTCCAGTTCCTGGGTTGGCCTGAAAGAGGAGTCCCAGTGTCTGCCCTCTCTCTCCTTCAAATGATACAAAATGTTCAAGAGCTTTACATCACATTAAGAACCACTGAACCAATAACAGTAATGTGCAGGTAATGTACATGTACATGTACAATATGACTACATACATATGTACATGTACATTTACATGTACAATATAATGATGTACATGTTTACTGTATGCATGTAGCTGGAAAGCATTTGTGAATGATTTTGTCTTACACTTTTGATGCAATTTAGATATATATGTACATGTACATGTATTTTGAGGTTGTGTCCTACATGTACATGGTAAGTTTCCAGCTTTATCTTATGCCATTTGTAAATTAACATGTTACTGTACATGTACATGTACTTACTACATCATCATTATCATCAATAACTCATTCTTCTTCTTCTTCTTATTATTATTATTATACTTATTGTCTTATCCTGTAGTTCTGGTGTTGGTAGGACTGGTGTGTTTATAGCGTTGGGTATTGTACTGGAGAGATACTCAGTTGAAGGAATGATTGACCTCTTTCAAACTGTAAAGACACTCAGAATACAAAGATCAGCCATGGTCCAAACCAGAGTAAAAAAAGAGAGAGAGAGAGAGAGAGAGGAGGAGGAGGAGAAGGGCAATTAACACTGTAATAGCAAGTTTGAGCTAATTTTTAACGAATTTTTTAAGTTGCTTAAAAATTAGGCCAAAGTCCCTGTACTCCAAATGCCATGTACTGTATTGTAGTGCTTGTCAGCTCATGAAACTCATCCTGCTTAGCTCACTTAGCATGCTTTGTGGGAAACCCTGAGTATGATATTGAAACTTTTGCGTTATACATAAGTTTACAGACACTTTCTGTTGTAATATATTACAGTAAACCAAGGATTTCTTTATCACTGTCCTACATTTTAATCTCTCTAAACCTCTTTATATCATTCACTCCAGGAGCAGTATCATTTCTGCTATGAAGCTATATTAGACTACCTACTCAACACTGGACAGTTACCTCGCATTCGCTCTGTCTCTGTTGACAGTCGCTCGTCCGTGTATTGTACCACTGCCACTCCCGCTAGCTCACCACCGTCCCAGGGTAATGGTGGTCTGACCACTAGTACTGTTGAAATGGCGAGTGCATTAAAAATACGTCAAATGATGACAATGGGTCATTGCTATCTCCTGTTAACAAAGCGAGTGCTCTTTAGCTATTATTATCATAACATTATTATTTTATTATTATTATTTTTGTTATTTTATTATTTTTTGTTATTCTCATAGCAAATTTTTCCCTTTTTCAATGTCATTGTTTTTTCCACACTTATCTTTTGCTTTTTCCTTTTCTTTTCATGTTTTACTATTCACATGCAGTTGCATTTAAGATTTATGTCAGTTCTTAAAAGATAATTATCATTATTGAAAAATACCCATAATGGTTTTGCAAGAATATCATCTGCTTGACTAAATTATATTCATAATGCTTCTATGTATGGCATGGTCAAAAATCCACAGTTATTCTATAGTAGATAACACTATCTACTTCCTGCTAGTCTGTAGTGCTAGTAGTGTAAAAATGGACTGGGTTCAACTTGAGCCATTACTATTGCCTGATTTAAAGGAGACTGGTAAAGAGTTAGGTCGTGGAGCTTATGGTGTTGTTACTGAAGTAATAGTTAGTGGAACAATCTGTGCTGCTAAAAAGCTTCATGATGTTATTGTACAGGTATAAAGGGAATTTGTATATAATAGTGTAATAATCTAAACCATTTCTCTAGGAGTACACTTTGACAAGATTTTGTGATGAGGTTCTTCTTCATAGTCATCAAAGGCATCCTAACATTGTCCAGTTAATTGGTGTCTATTATCCTCCTCGTTCACAATTACCAATGTTAGTAATGGAGTATCTTCCTTTATCACTCACACAATGTCTGGAGAGAGAAGAGCTATCACTTCAAATGAAGTATTCTATTCTTCTTGATGTTGCTAAAGGTTTGTGTTATCTTCATGGTAAACGTCCTCCTATTGTACATCGTGACCTCACTGCTAATAATGTGTTACTGACCTCTTCATACTCAGCTAAGATATCAGATTTAGGAGTATCAAGATTAGCCGATACCTTTAAAAAGGATCACCTCACTACAGCACCTGGTAATGCTAGTGTAATGCCACCAGAAGCTCTTGAAGATAATCCGGTATATGATCACAAGTTAGATGTATTCTCTTATGGTTGTCTCATTCTTCATGTACTTACTGGTCAATTGCCTAAACCTACTAAAGAATATGCACCTGAACCTGGTAAGAAAAAATCCTTCAAGAAAGTACCAGAATGGGAAAGAAGATCAAACTACATTAAAAATATACCAAAAGAGAATGAGCTACTTTTTTTAGCTAAGCGTTGTCTCAGTGATATTCCTACTGGTAGACCAGAAATAGTTGATTCATGTCATTTTGTGGAGCAAGTTCTTTCAAAATATCCAAAAATGCAAAATGTAATGCAATTGATTAAAGAGAAAGAAGCAGCAGAAAAACATATTTGTGAATTAAATGCAGAAAATGAAGCATTGAGAGCTGAGAAAGTAGAAATTGAGAAGCAACTGAGAGCAGATTGTGAACGGCTGACAGCAAAAGTGGCAGGCTTACAGAATACTCTTTCTTCAAAAGAAAATGAATTCAATTATTGCACTCAAGTACTAAAAGAAATCATTAGAAGTAGAGATGAACAGCTAGTTAAGCTACAAGAAGACAATGTGGAACTACTGAAGAAAAGAGAAGCTGATTTAAAGGAAGAGCATTTGACAGAGCTTGCTGCAATGGAGGAGTATGAAGCAAAGCTTTTGGCTGCAACAACAGAACACAAACAGCAACTTTGTGAATCTCACAGAGAAAGTGAGGTGAAAGTATCAGAAGTATTAAAGGAGCCTGTGAAGTCAAGTCAAGCACTCAAAGATACAACAGCACAGCAGCAATCCACCCCAATGGCAATAGACGGGTAAGGCCTAGAATTGAAACTGTTTGTATGCCAGGTTAAATTGCTTTGCTTGCTACACATGCATATCTAGATCAAGCACAACCATAAGAGTGATGCTTTGTTATGCTTGCCCCATGAATGTATTTCAAATTGTTATTTATAATTCTAGAAAAGAAGGACTTGTTGCTAGTAATATTGTTAAGAAGGTTGGCTTAGAGAGTGAAGAGTAAGTCACTTATTGTTTACATGCGTGAATTATCATTTTCGAGGATTCTCATTTGTTTTATATAATTTTCTATATTTGCCCTCAATTCATAAAATTTTATTCCAAATGTATGCAGTAAATAATTAGATAGTTATATTTTACAGTTAGAGAATTTGAATCATGAATATAGAGCTATTTGTTTTTGGTCATCTTATTACATTACATCTTCTTAATTATTTTATTTTATTTTAGTTGGTTTTTCCCTACATTATCACGTGTTGAAGCTGAGGCTATACTCAAGCAAGAGGTAAGCATTATTACTATAATCATTGACACTACATTGCAATCACTGTAGAATAAAGATGGAACTTTTGTTGTTAGAAATTCCAGTCAAGAAAACTATGCCATATCAGTATTTAGGTACGTCTGTACAGTTGGTACAGTTTTTGGCCATGTGCCATTGAGCATGCATATAATGATTTTAGTTTTGCAAATTGCCAAATTTGCCAAATTTTCCCATATGGTACCAGGTATACGCTAAGAGGTTATCAAATTAATCATTAATTTGATTTATAACCATAATTTTTAAAGTTACCAACAAATTTTTATTCTCGTATCTGTCCTATATCATCATTAGTCAAAATGGTAATGTCTACCATTATCCCATTAAAAATGATAAAGAGAAAAAATACTTTGTATCTGAGAAACATCGTTTTCCAACAGTTATAAAACTTATTGAATATTACAAACTGAACGGAGGAGGTCAGTCTCATTTGAAACCATGGTTATTATTAATACACATACGATCATCATTAGGTTTAGTTACCAGATTAAAACGACTCCCTGCTTTGTTGGTCTCTAACCAACCAGTTCTCTCATCTGCATTTGGTAATTTGTGATAGATGCAGTAATGCATAAATAGTTGTATAAATTAAGATTTTGACAAAAATATTCACAGAATTTTCTCTCTTTCATCTTGTTCATTCTATTACAGATTATAAGTGGCAAATTGATAAAACTGAGCTGTCATTTGGTAAAGAACTAGGCAGTGGAGAGTTTAAAGTAAGTCTATTGCTTAGCACATTATATGCACATCATGTAGCACAATCACGTCTTAAATGAATGCTCCCTTCATTCCTTTATTTCCCTATTTTGTACTTTATAATAAATTGTTTCTTTCCTTTAGAGAGTAGTAGCAGGTCAATGGCGTAATAAAGGTGATATTGCTATTAAAATGATAAAGGAAGATACAATGAATGAAGAGCACTTAATTGAAGAAGCAATATTGATGCTGTAAATTTTGTTAATAGTAATGATTTCTGCATGATAATGTGCATGCATGCATTTTAGTAGTTGTAACTAATTCCAACGTCTTGTAAGAAGTACAATTTTAAAAATTTTTTATCTTTAGTACAGCATGTAGCATGTCACATACTATTATTGACTTACATTTTGTATTTCTGTATTTGCAGGAAATTCCAACATGATAATTTAGTAAAGTTATATGGAGTGTGTATCGGACAAGGACCTGTTTATATCATCACTGAATTAATGGCTAATGGTTGTCTACTCCAGTATCTTCGTAATAATCAACATTTAGTGAAAAAAACAGACATTATGCTTGACATGGCCATACAGATTTGTGATGCTATGAAGTTTTTTGAACAATCTGGTTTTATACACAGAGATTTGGTGAGTGAATAAGTCAGCAGGTGTGCTTACTGCCTGCATGCATCTTTTGAATAAGCAATTTACTGACACTTCACTTTGTTTTTGAATTTTCTACTTTAGCAGATATCCTTTGGCCCAGCATGCACTAGACAACTTTTAGCACTAGTAAAATTTGTGGTTACCTTAATCAGTATTTATTTAGTCAGTATATGGACTAGATTTCTATTCTTAAACACAAGATTAAAGTAGCCACAAAAGTTACTTTAAAAGTTTCAGTTGGTTATAATAAAATAAATATGGCATCTTTTGAGGTGAAAATAAGACCAGCTAGCTACAACATATACCACAATATAAATTGAAACATTTATAATATTTTTGTCATTCTTCTGCACAAACCTTCAGGCTGCTAGGAATTGTCTGGTTGGTTATAGCAATATTGTTAAAGTTGGTGGTTTTAGTTTAGCAAGATTTGTTCCTGATGATCAGTACACAGCATCTGAAGGTGCCAAGTATGCTGTTAAGTGGTCACCACCAGAAGTCATCACTCATGGTAGATTTAGCAGCAAATCAGATGTTTGGTCATATGGTAAGCTACAAAATTGTAATATTTTGTTTTTAAAATAAGTTGGGCACTGAAATTTTTTTATTAATTATTAATTCTAATCATGCATTAACATTAAACAAAATTAGTGAGTTGTAAAAAAAAGTAGCAAAACATGTACTTATGCAATGTATTAATTTTTTATTAGGTATTTTGTTGTGGGAGTTGTGGAGTAGTGGTAAAAATCCTTACTTAGGCATCAGTAATCCTTTAGTATTAGATAAAGTAAGTATGTCTTCTTTTTTTATACAGTCTCTCCTTGCTCCACACACACTTTGCTTCTACCTTGCTCTTTACCTAGGTTTTAAGTGGCTATCGATTAGAAAAGCCTAAATTATGTCCTTCTAAAGTTTATGACTTAATGAAAAGGAGTTGGCAAGTGGTATGACATTACATGTGCATATGTGACCATGCAATTTCTTCAATTACTGGTAGTAATTTAAATAGCATGTTACATGTGTATTTATAGTAGATTAAAATTGAACCTACATTGTTGTTTCTAGCTGTATTCTCAAATATGTACATGTACATGTATTTAGAATTGGCAAAATAAATTATCATTTAATTTGACTCAAACTTTCTGTTGATACATATATGTACATAGATAAATTAGTCTATAAGAAAATGGTGTTTGATCAAAATTAATTTTTACAAAATTTAATTCGCTGACATTTTCAGAGTTTAACTATAATAAACTTGCCCAAAGTAATGTATGTCACATTGTTCATGTAATTTTAACAATTTTTCATTAATTATATTTTTGTGATAATGACACTGAGTTTTTAACCAAATTTTTAATTTGCATATTGTGTGTTCATTTTTATCTGCATTTATATTCCACCTAAACTTTGAATATCCAAATACACATGTACATTATCATGTGGAACAAAACACATTAAAATGTGCCATAGCCTACACATGGTACACCAGTCCTGATGCTAATTTTTCTCCTTGCATTGCTTTATATAGTTATGATCTGTCATAAAATTGACTAGCTGAGCAGAAGTACCACAGATGGAAAAAACTACCGTATAGGGTATAATGTTCACGGGACGCAAATTTCGCTGATTTCATGGATAAAGAAAATTTGCAAAAATAAAATCTGCGAATATCAATTTAACATGGTATCCGCATGGCACACCTGGTAAAATTCGTGAAATTAAAATCCACAAATTGGAATTTTGGTAGATTTCGCGAAATTTGCCTCCCGCGAACATTATGCCCTATACAGTATGTCATAAATTCAAAATTACATGTTATTTTATTTCACTGTTCAGGTTATAGAAATATTTCATGTTTTAAATTTTTGCTGTTGGCCACTAAATTGAACTATTTATTTCCCAATCTACAATACTCATTCATGTACACAATATACTCATTATTATTTATCATAGTACTCACATACACTTTTTCTGTATATAGAATCCTTCTGATCGGCCATCATTTGCTGTCCTCCTTGATTCTCTCAAAGCCATGGTAGGAGGTGACTACAGTGATCCAGTGGATTAATTGTGCACCTTTCTATTTTATATGTGCATACATTTATTTCATTGTTTTCCATTATCTCTTGTCTATGAAGTATTATTTAATTGCAGTGTCTTGAATTTATGTTGCTTATAATTTGCTCTTTTAGTTTTTAGAAACAACTAGATTTCTGTATTTTTGCCTATTTTTAAAAATTAAGATAAAAATTATTTGTAATCATGGTGATTATGATTGTAGAATTAGATTGTTTTTATTTTTATTCAGAGGTTGAAGCTTTCATGTTATACGTATGTTTGCAGACATTTACTGTTGTAATATAATTATTACAGTAGACCAAGGATTGCTAAGAAGACAAAAAGATTTCTTTACCACTGTCCTATTTTAATCTCTAGTGTCCCTTGTATATCATTCACTCTAGGAGCAGTATCATTTCTGTTATGAAGCTATATTAGACTATCTCCTCAACACTGGACAGTTACCTCGCATTCACTCTGTCTCTGTTAACTGTCACTTGTAGTTTCATTTAAGATTTGTGTCAGTTCTTAAAAGATAATTATCATTATTAATTGAAACACAATTTAAGAATGGTTTTGCAAGCATTAGATCTAACTGCTTGACCAAATGTAATTGGTAATTTTTATTCAGTCAATATTCAGGAAGTGCATCTAGCTAGATCTTCTAGTCCATCTATTATAATAACCAAATTTTATCTAGAGCCAACCCCTTAGTGGTCTAGATCTATACACATGCACACAAAATCTAGCACAAAATGGACAGAGGTCAACTTCAGCCATTACTATTGCCTGATTTAAAGGAGACTGGTAAAGAGTTAGGTCGTGGAGCTTATGGTGTTGTTACTGAAGTAATAGTTAGTGGAACAACCTGTGCTGCTAAGAAGCTTCACCCTGCTATTATACAGGTATATATAGGGAAATTGATTTTGTATATGTATATAATAATAATTGTTTTTTGTAGGGGTACACGTTGAAAAGATTTTGTGATGAGGTGCTTCTTCACAGTCAACAGAGGCATCCTAACATTGTACTGTTGATTGGTGTCTATTATCCTCGCCGTTCAAAATTACCAATGTTAGTAATGGAGTATCTTCCTTTATCACTCACACAATGTCTGGAGAGAGAAGAGCTACCACTTCAAATGAAGTATTCTATTCTTCTTGATGTTGCTAAGGGTTTGTGTTATCTTCATGGTAAACGTCCTCCTATTGTACATCGTGACCTCACTGCTAATAACGTGTTACTGACCTCTTCATACTCAGCTAAGATATCAGATCTAGGAGTATCAAGATTAGCTGATACCTTTAAAATGCATGAGCTCACTACAGCACCTGGTAATGCTATGGTAATGCCACCAGAAGCTCTTAAAGATAATCCGGTATATGATCACAAGTTAGATGTATTCTCTTATGGTTGTCTCATTCTTCATGTACTTACTGGTCAATTCCCTCAACCAACCAACCAGTTTGTACAAGAACCTGGTAAAGAACCCTTCAAAAGAGTACCAGAATGGGATAGAAGATCAAGCTACATTAAAAATATACCAAAAGTGAATGAGCTCCTTCCTTTAGCTAAACATTGTCTTAGTGATGCTCCTAGTAGTAGACCAGAAATAGTTGATTCATATCATTTTGTGGAGCAAGTTCTTTCAAAATGTCCAAAAATGCAAAATGTAATGCAATTGATGAAAGAGAAAGAAGCAGCAAAAAAACATGTTTGTGAATTAAATGCAGAAAATGAAACATTGAGAGCTGAGAAAGTAGAAATTGAGAAGCAACTGAGAGCAGATCGTGAACGGCTGACAGCAAAAGTGGCAAGCTTACAGAATACTCTTTCTTTAAAAGAAAATGAATTCAATTATTGCACTCAAGTACTAAGAGAAATCATTAGAAGCAGAGATGAACAGCTAGTTAAGCTACAAGAAGACAATGTGGAACTACTGAAGAAGAGAGAAGCTGATTTAAAAGAAGAGCATTTGACAGAGCTTGCTGCAATGAAAGAGGAGTATGAAGCAAAGCTTTTGGCTGCAACAATAGAACACAAGCAGCAACTTTGTGAATCTCACAGAGAAAGTGAGGTGAGAGTATCGGAAGTATTAAAGGAGCCTGTGAAGTCAAGTCAAGCACTCAAAGATACAGCAGCACAGCAGCAATCCACCCCATTGGCAATAGATGGGTAAGGCTAGAAGTGAGGCTATTATAGTATGTATGCCAGGTTAAATTGCTTTGCTTGCTACAGGTGCATAGATCAAGCGCAACCATAAGAATGATGCTTTGTTATGCTTGCCCCATAAATGTATTTCAAATTGTTATTTATAATTCTAGAAAAGAAGGACTTGTTGCTAGTAATAATGTTAAGAAGGTTGGCTTAGAAAGTGCAAAGTAAGTTCCATTGATCTAAACACTCATTGTCTAAATCTGTAGCTGTACAGTGAATTATCATTTTTGAGGTTTCTCATTTGTTTTATGTATTTTTGGCCTCACCAGAGATTAGCGTGGGTGAGGACTACTGTATAGCAGGAAATGTTGGAGGGAGTAAAATTTGGCAAATTGCTAAATTTTGGTTATTGGCGGATTTTAATTTGGCGAATTAGTGGCCACGTGCCATTGAGCATGCGTATAAAAGCTCAAAACGGTGGATTTTATTTTGGCGAATGGCTATTAAAATGCCAAATTCGCCAAATTTAATTCCCTTGAAAATTTCTTGCTATACGGTTAGTTGCCCTCACCCACGTCATCTATATAGACATGGCAAGTTATAGGGACCACTCCATAAGAAATTGTGAGATGTAAAACCAGTTTTTGTTGTTTTAAAAGTTTTGAATTATTACTTCTACATTTCTAATGCAATTAAATGTCAAAATATTGTCACTTTGCTTTTGTTAATTCAAAACCATAAAACTAAAATCCACAGAAAAATACAATAGTCAACCAATCTCATACTCTGTACTAATGGGAATATGTTTCACTTTAAACCGTATTAGTATACAATTATTTGTAGTTTTATTTACAACATTTATGTTTTTTGGCTTTTTAACAGTTCAATGTACATTATACGTTTTTTGGTTTTCAGTTTTTTAGTTTTAGGTTTCCACATTGGAATCTGTTGTACATGTACATATTTGGGTTTTTAGTTTCGTAGTTTTCGGGTTCTATCTTAGAGTCTGTTGCATATGTACACAATGTACGTGTTTGGGTTTTTGGTTTTGTAGTTTCCAGGTTCTATCTTAGAGTCTGTTGCATATGTACACAATGTACGTGTTTGGGTTTTTGGTTTTGTAGTTTCCAGGTTCTATCTTAGAGTCTGTTGCATATGTACACAATGTACGTGTTTGGGTTTTTGGTTTTGTAGTTTTCAGGTTTCTGCCTTATAGTCTGTTGCATATGTACACAATGAATGTGTTTGGGTTTTTGGTTTTGTAGTTTTCAGGTTCTATCTTAGAGTCTGTTGCATATGTACACAATGTACGTGTTTGGGTTTTTGGTTTTGTAGTTTTCAGGTTCTATCTTAGAGTCTGTTGCATATGTACACAATGTACGTGTTTGGGTTTTTGGTTTTGTAGTTTTCAGGTTTCTGCCTTATAGTCTGTTGCATATGTACACAATGAATGTGTTTGGGTTTTTGGTTTTGTAGTTTTCAGGTTCTATCTTATAGTCTGTTGCATATGTACACAATGAACGTGTTTGGGTTTTTGGTTTTGTAGTTTTCAGGTTTCTGCCTTATAGTCTGTTGCATATGTACACAATGAACGTGTTTGGGTTTTTGGTTTTGTAGTTTTCAGGTTTCTGCCTTATAGTCTGTTGCATATGTACACAATGAAT